TCTTACTTTTACCATGATGCAGTAAAGCAGGAAATAATGTGGGCTTTGACCTATACCAAAAGAAGTAAGGGCTGACCAGGAGGAAGAAGTTTAAATGCTGCTCACCAATCCCACTATTGTGACTCACATATTCAAGTATGGTAACAACCAAGATAATTAACTGGGAAGAGGTCAGTTGTTTCACACTCTGTCTTCGACTATTAGATTTGGACCTCAGGAGAGATCCTTTGAAACTTTGGAAGTTCATCTCTGCCTTGCCCAAAATCTCTAAAGTCTACATAGTATTATGAGCCTGAGCCACATGAAATTGCCAATATTTGATAATTTTTCACCTATTAAAAATAAAAATGGCTCAATCAATAGTACAAGTATTCGTATTCTGGTCTCTGATGACATTAATTAGACCATAAATTACTTAAAGAGTTTTTCGGCTCTCTAAAATTATGCACAACTTTTATGGCTAAGTGTATATGTGATTTTATTTTTGAAGGCAGAAGAGTCCCAAAGGTCAATATATTTTCTAAGGAATCCATAATTCTCCACTCATCTTAAAGAAGGGCACAGTGAGGTCAGAAGGATACAGGGAAAACCTAAGTCCCCTCCTCTCTAGTATTTGCCTAGGGGAAGCCATCAACTCCTACAACACTTGTTTCCACTTCCATAATTAAAATTTTTATATCCAGAGTAGGGTATACCAAAAAACAACAACAACAACAAAAAAAAACAACCCCCCAAAATAACCCCCAAAACTCAAGTAGAAATAAAAATTCAGGGAGGCTCCAGCTGAGTGTGGTCACACAATGGGTGCACACCTAAGGTGGTACTGACCTGCCTTCTCCTGGCGGAGGGCTCTGCACTTCTCTCTGGAATTGGTAGGTGCCATAGATGTGAAAAGGGAAAGGCACGGAAAGACAGTAGCACAGTAACTCACCAGAAACATTTTGAAACTTCAGAGAAGATTCTTTTCAAGTTTGTGGTCCAGTTTTGGGGTCTGCTATGGGGTGCCCACCACGCAGAGTGATCTGGAAGTTGAAACGCTTGTTTTGGGAGCATGATGGGTATGTCGGGGCCCAGAAGGCACCGGACAGGGATTTCTTAAGTCTGAGCAATTCCTCATTAGTGACACATTGCTTCAATTTTATTCTTCAACAGTGGCCAACAATTAGATCGAGTAGTTAATAATGTGCAGTCTTTGAACGAAAAAGAAACTCAATGTGTGGGACTGGCTCTCCTCCACTGTGTGTCACTATCTAAATATCTATCTAGCTATATCTATCTTTTATCTATGTATATGCATCTATCAATCAATTGATCTATCATCTATTTATGTCTATAACTATCATGTATCTCTATCACCTGTCTATATTTCTATTATATGTATCTATCCATCTATCTGACTACATATCACTGTCTTTTCTCTATGGATCTACCATTTGTCAGCTCTGTGTTCTCTCTTTATTGTGAAGTACTTTATGATGCCTACAGTGAGTCAGTTTCACTGGCCGTCCTAACTTGGGACCATTTCTTAGACCTGAGAGTCACTTGCTTTTCTGAAAGACTTTCTTTCTTGATTCCTAGTTATGCTTTCTCTTCCTTGCAGAGGACATGTTAAATTAACTTTATATTGCCTGTGTAATATGTGGATGTAATCTCCTATTACAAAAGAGTAAAATGTTACAGATAAAACAAACAGTTCCTTCTGGCACCTGCCACAGAAGCACAAGGGCCTGAGTTCGAGTCCTGGTACAAAAACAAAACAAAACAAAACCTAAGAATTCTTTTGATTTGCTAGGATTTTGGATCTTTCTCTTGAGGCACGTTAAACTGAATTTTCTAAAAATAATCTATTAAAAGATTGATGTGTAGGGGGATAGGGATTTAGCTCACTGGTGCTACTGCCTGCCTCCCAAGCACAAGGTCCTGAGTTTAATCCCCAGTACCAAAAAAGAAAAAAAATCGATGTGTAAAACTGTACAGTGGTGCCTCAGTATTTATTAATTGTTTCTTGGATATATGACAAGTAGCAAAAATATTAAGTGCTAAGCAAATCGTTTTTCCTGGAAAGGGTACTGTGAGTCACAAGGTGAATGAAACCAACAGGTTCTAGCTTGAAGTTGAGTACCAAACAAATTGTGAGAACCAGGACAAAATTTTTCCATCCAAATGTGTTGAGTACCAAATTCAAAGAGTTTCAAAGCAGTCAAGTACCAAGGGGTGACTATATTTTTATAGATTCCATTCATAAAGTAGAGATACATAATATACCAAGAATCTCAAATGTGGACAGTTTATATGAAACCAGAATCCAGAGGACCACTTCATATTTCCACAGACATCAATTTTGAAAAGCATATTTAAAGTTTTAGCCCACAAATTTCAGAAAAGTATAATTCTCTTTGTATATTAGAACATAAAAATATAAGTTTTCCCTTAAAATTATATTTTTTCACCCTTTCTTTCCACTGTGTAAACTGTATAAAAATATTTCTCTGGAGAAATAGGAATTATTGAATAGTGAGATTTTACTGTATAATAAGCACTGTCCTGTATGCCCTCACATAAATTCATTTAACATCGCAGTAACCATGTGAGATAGGCCTTATCTTTGTTCTCAGTATTAGGAAAGAGAAACCCAGGCTCCTCCAGGAGACAGGGATTTCTGGGGCTTATGTCTCCTTAGTACAGATTGATCGAATAGCCAAACCCAGAGTTGCTGCCTGACCAACTCTCTCTCTCCCACACCATGGATTTACATGGTTCCTCTCACTCCCACTTAGACTGATAATGCTCGTATGAACAGATTTTGACTAGTCTCTGCCTTTGAGGTGGCAATACAGCGGTTATGTGAGAGAATTTATACTTTCTTGTGTTGTGCTTCTGGTTGTTGCGGTGGGGTAAACGAGATTCAAGTGAAAATGAGACATGGCTACCTTTCCCACGTCACTGTGAGAGGAAATGCCCAACACTCAGCATCCCATAACTTGATCCTTTGTTTCTCTTTGTTTGTGCTGTCCAATATTCCTCTGCCTGTGTGACCTGTGTAAGTCTTACCTGTGTTTTTCTAACTGAACCCCTAGCCTGGAAATTCTGATGTAACATTTCCCTGCCAATCATGGCACCAAGGCACTGCTCGCAGAAGAAGCAGCCTTTACGTTTGAAAGTGATTTTGTATTTAGGGAGCGTAAGCACAAAGGGGTGTATTGCTAAGAGTTGCAAAGTGAGTTGGAAACTGTGGGCATGGGCCCTTAAACTGGAGAGGCCCACATACGTCAGAACTACCTGTACTAACTAGCTTTAGGTTGGCGGTGTCTATTTTGGGGACTGGCAGAAGATGGAAGACTGAGCTCTTCTGTTCCTTGTTAAAGCCACCACACTCTTCAGGTCAGAAGCCCATTGAAGTAAAGCCACCAGGTGCTTGTTTAGACTCTGTCTGCTCCTAGCTCAGGAAATGACCCAGAACTTTCTTTCAGTGTTCACTCAGCTCTCTTTTGTGGTGTATGAAAAGGAACAGGTTATAGGAGTTCCCAGAAGGCTTTGATGTTATTTGCTGCTGGAGTCCAGAGCTTTGGGTTAGGCTCTTGGTTTCCTTAGGATGTGTTACACGTCTAGCCCGCACCCAGCTGGGGACAGAGGACTTCATATTGGGAACTGTAACCTATGGGTCTGGATGTCTCTTAAGTTATGAAGGAATATGGATTACTTCAAAGAGCAGAAATGAAAAAATAGGGGAGGAGCAGACACTGTAGAAAGTGTGGCTAGCCTTTCCCTCAAAGGAGGGGAGAAAGAAAGGAGAGCTGTGCTGCCCTGACCACTGTAAATCCTAAAATCGCCCTAATTAAGCCAGCAGTACAAATGGACACTCTATAAATGGACGCATTGCCAAGACTCAGGAAACGCCAGTCTGCGGGTGAGAAAGAATTTTCATTAAAGTAGAAAACAAGTTTTACTCTCCCGCTCCCCACTTTAGAGGCGGTCACTCACATTCGATGTTTTGCTTTGCTTTTACACCAAGAGTACATTCCCTGGCCCCACACCACTCTTCATTCCTGATAAAAATCCAGAAAAATTTACATAGGACTTTGTAAGGTCCAGGTTCTAATCATAAATCTCAGATACAACACCAGGGAAAGTTGGGGACAGAAAGTAGGGGTAATGTTAAGGTCTAGGGAATCAAGCCAAAGTAAATCGTCAAATCGTGTAAGTCCAGTGTGGAGTAAACACTGAACTTTCAGCAGTGACTAGGAGAAAGGCTGCATTTCATTCTTGAACTCTATGATTTTTTTCTATTAAAATCTTCCCGGCGACCAAGTTTTCATAGTGAATTTCGAATAGCTGATGTGGTATAATCAGCCTAAACATCCAAGAATATTCCTTATAAATAGGGAAATATTCTTGACTTCTTTTCCATCTGGGGACAGATATACAAGCTTGGGGCATCAGAAAAGCTGCATAAAATAAATGGTCTCTCAACTTTCAATCTCAGAAGCAACAGATTCTGCAGCAGCCCCTCTTCTGTGTTGTAATTCATCTCTTAAGTGAAAATTCTGAGAAAATCAGGGGCGTGTAAATAGGGAGGTAGAGAGGCATAACTAGATGTGGCAGTTCAAAGCTTCAGGAGGACTTGGTCTGTTGACATACACTGGCTTGCTGGTCATCTTGTCTACTTCTCTCTCGAATGGCTATGTGGAGGCTTGGTGTCTCCAGCAATGTTCTCCGAGTGAGCTTTTTGAGAAATGTAGAGAACAACAGGTACAAGTTGAAAAAGAAATATAAAAGCAAAAACACTGCACTAAGCAGTTTCAGAAAAAAGGTTAACATGCTTGGTAATTGAAAAACCTCCTGTCTCTCTTATGATCTTTGGTGCAACCTTGAATACTTTTCTGTGCCTACTTCCATATGTTTCCCATCTGTTAACAATGAGCTAAGGACAGACATGGGGTGGCATCTTCCTTGATTTCTTATGAAAACAATGGCTCATACATATATGTGTTTATGCCTAGGTGTGTTTTAATAGACCAGGAGTAGCCACTGCGGTTTTCATTTTCTTGACATCTGATGGCCTGGCCCCTGGGAAGCAGCGACCAACAGTGACTCTGTACGTGATCGATGTCAGTGGTAGCAACCACTCTCTTGGTGAGTCTGAGAATGATTCCTTTAGAACTGTTAGAGGACAATCCGGTAGATCCAAGAGTCACTTTGATGTCTATTTCTGATATTGTTTGGGATCTGGCCTATACCACATAGCTATGGAAAGAACAAAACAGTAAAATAGATAAGGAAACATGGTGCTAGATGAATAGCTTGAAATATTAATTCATCTTTTAACTTCTCTTCAGGAACCCATGAACTGTCATGCCAGCAGAACCCACTGGTTATCAATGTGACCCCTCATGCAAATGTCCTCTCCCACCACACCACCTCCATGCTGCTGAATTTCTCATCCCCTTTGGTGGGCATCTCAGCGGTGGCTCTGAGGACATCCTCCCATATCGGTCCTTCAGCTCCCCATAACTGCATTCCGGAGCATGAGGGGCAAAATCATCAGGGACAGAGGTACAAAGTCCCCTTCTTCCTCTCTTCCCTTTTTATTGTGGTTGTAATGTACTGCTGTCATTTAGATTGTATCTATTGTATTCTATTGTGGTTGATTAATCATTAATTGAAAAATGGGTTTAGAACCTACTGAAAAGTCCTGAGAAGGAAGCAAAGAATAACTTGTGGAAGGTGTGCTGGGTTTTATATTTTTCTCTTCTTTCTTTAGCTCAGCATAATTTTATGTAAATATTTAACATCTTTATAAGGTCTTAATATCTTTTTCACATATAAAACCACTGACTTCAAATCAACATTGTTACATAAACTGCCAGAAATTCTTTGCCAAAAACTCAATGTTCCCTGAGCAATGTATATTTTTCCACTTGCTCCCACCTGGACAGTGTACACAGCAAGTTTACCAATTATCACTAATTCATGTCACAAAATCATTTAGGGTTATACATGGAAATAGGCAATATGTTACCTACATGTGTCTTTCTCTGGACATCTGTGATTGTCTTCATCTAGACATATGAGAGTGACTGGATTCTTAGAAGTAGATAGTGTGAGAAGTGTACTTCACTGTGTTGGCATGCCCAAGATCAGGGATGGGGAGCATTCCAGACTCAACAACCTGTGCTACTATTGGGAGAGAGTCATTCTGTCAGTAGTCTAATCAAGTGAGTAAAACTAAAGATAACAAAGTTCACTCCCTTAGAAGGTGGGAGCTGAGATCACTTCTTTATTACTAGATGATCAAGAGATCAGGATTGTAATCATAAAAGCTGAAGTTCCAGGTATTGCTCCTTCACCAAGGATGAAGTCCAATGCCGCTGCTCCCAGCTCAGCTTTACCAGAAACCAAGTCCCAAAAGGGATAAGGGGTACACAGTACTAGTGGAGTATGTAAGTCATGCATTTCTGTGCAACAAATTAAACAAAATTTTAGTGGCTTAATACAAACAACATTATGTCAGTTTCTTTGGGTAAGGAATCTAGATGCAGCTCATCTGGGTGCCTCTGGCTTACGGTCTCTTCTGAGGTCGCAGTCAAGCCATTGACCACAGCTGCAGTTACTAAGGCTTGAGAGAAGTTGGAGAGTTTGTGTCTGTGCTGTGTTCACTTACATATAGCTATTTGCAACTTCGGAAGATCCATGACCAAGTTCACTCCCCTAGGTGTACGCAGTGGACATGCTCAGATAGGCATGGTTCAGTTCTTTGGCACAACGGCCTCTTCTTATAATGAATGTCTTAGACATGGAAGCTAATGATACCAAAGAAAAAGTGAGATAGAGAGCGTATGCTGGGTGCATGATACAGTGCGCAAGACAAAGCCATAGTCTTTTTGTAACATAACGTTGGAAGTGACAGCCCATTAATCTTCTGCCATAGTCTATTCACTGCAAGTCAGTAATCCGGTCAATACTTGAGGGAAGTGGTTTGCATTAGGACCTACTTCACTGGGAACCATCTTAGAAGCTATCTACCACTGACAGTGATGATAGCTCATGTTCATTGTTTACCAACTATCTGCCAGGTATGCTGTGTCATAAGTGCCAGGAGGAGAGAGAAGATTAAGGGGTAGAGTCTGGATACTGTACATGTGACATTAGCTACTTCATCTGCAATTGATAAATTTTCTTCATGAGCAAATACCTCCAAACATTAACACAAGAACGTAGATTCTTAAAATAACATTCATTATTAGAATTATTGCCTCTCCCCCATGTATTTTCAAGTTATTTCCTCTACTATTTCTAACTCTGGCCTTAAGCCATACAGAATTTCTTTCGGGTCCCTGAAACATGTGTTCTTTATGAGCTTTGCACACAATGTTCCTACTTTCTTGAATGCCTTCCAGTCCTTCTTCACTTCAATGCATGCTCTACCAACAGGGTTCACCTTCTGTGAAGCTTTAGCAGGCTCTCACTGTTTCTAAAGGACACAACGCCTAACTCAAACTCGACAAAACTCACTGTCACATTGGGTGGTGATTGTTTACTTCTTGTTCTTTTCTATTAGACTCTGAGTGAGCTCCCTATAGCTGGATTTCTGCTCAGTATCTCTCAGTACCTAGCAGAGGTTCTTCCACGTAGTAGGCATCAGAAACTGTGAGTTGAGTGACTGTTGCTGACTTGGACTGCTTCATGGAACAGAATTAAAGAAGCGAACCAACAAAGTTGGAGTCACAGCCTTTTTAAACTTAAGGCCCAAGAATTCCCCTTACCATAGTAGTTGTGAAACTTCAGCAAAGAGGTTGATTAGTTAGGATCACTGCTGGTAGTTCTTCACTTATGTTCATGTGGCATTGTGGGAAAAACAAGTTTTATGTGCATGCATGCAAACCAGTGGAAATAGTATCTGATTCTCCAGTTTACACAGAGTGTATCTGGAATGCATAAGCATTTCCAAACCACATGTGACTGACAGGAGCCATGCAAATTGGCTTTTTTTTCTCAGCCAGCAGATCAGTGTAATATAGTAAAAATTTATATTCAGGAAACTTAATAGATCTCAAATTTTTGTTGTGAATATATTTAAAATCTGAATTCTTATGTACTTTTAAAATATAGAAATCTTTTTGTAGCCTTGTGTCATTCACAGTTGTATCTGTAGATACATCACTAAATGAAACCCTCAAATTCTGAGCATGGTGAGAGAGATTTCTGACCACCTTCCTCTCCCTTATGACTTGAATTCCATCAATACTTACATGGGCAGGGAGAGCTGACAGATGTCTGGCAATAGAAGATGTGTTATCCATTTTATGTTTAACTATTAATGAGAGTTGCCCTGTTCCTCCTACAAGTCTTCTATATCATTTTTTTTCTTCCTCATTGAGTTTATTGGTACATTTTAGGTATACAGTGCAGTTACATTCATCACTGAGAACTTGTACCTTTATATGACAGATCTTGGTTCTCATTTTTCCCTATACCTTGCCCTCCCCTCTTTAACCAACCTGACTGGTCAAAAAAATCTCAGCTCAAAGCCAATAAACCTGTCTTGCTCTGTAGTGATAATCATGGTCTTTGTATTGGTCAAATCACTTCTTGTTTGTTTCCCTAAATAGCAAAAATGCAGGAAAAATAAGAACATATGAAAACTCTTATCAAAACCAAAACCCAAGTCTGGCCTCTAATGCCTGTGAAAATTTCTTCTTGATTGCAATAATGTGTTTTGGAGTTAAATTAAAAAACATCATTGGAAACCATAGAACACGCTTATTGTGTTCTGAAAAAAAATCAATCAAGAAATAAAACTATAATTAATGAAAAGGACACAGCTTCATTTGCTGGCCTGTTTTTTTTTAGATGAATAATGATACTATTTGTTTAGACTGGAAGTCTGACTCACAGACAAGTCCAAGGAGAAGAGTACCAAGATTTTAGAGTTTGATCGTTTTGAATCTGTTATGTCTACCAGGCATCTAAGCCAGAAAATCCACTACAGAGTTGTCTATGTGATCGTGTTTTGAGATAAAAACCCAAGGAAGATATAATTAAGAATTAAGTTTTTAAAAATAGATTGTGCAGAGGGAAGGAAGGAAGGAAGGAAGGAACAGAGGGAGGGAGGGAGGGAGGGTGGCAGGGAGATAATACTTTGAGCTTTGACGTGTTTCCTAGTCTTGTTTCCTATTCTGGTATGATGGCTATCCAGTTTGTAAACCCTCTGGGCTTAGCACCTGATCATGAATCCTTTAGTCTTGAACAGCAAGCTTAGTTTTCCTGATCCTGTCCATCTGTGTTCAACATGAGCTCAAGTTGTTTTTACTCTCCAGTTGTTTAATCAGTTTTGTTTACTTTAGGGAACAACCTGTCACAGCTTCAGGATCAGGCAGACCTCCAGCTAGCCTAGGATTTTTTTTTAATATATATAAAACTTTAGGCTGTACAAGCCATTTTCTGTGTTAATGCCATGGGATTTGAAGTTATCTGAAGAATCCAAGTAATGATATGCTAATTTGCCTAAGTGAGTAGATTAGCTTGCAGATGATCAGTACTCCTAATCCACTTTGGAAATTCAGAATCGAATGTCTAAGAATTTGCTAATAGGTAAAAATTACTGATGGACACCCAATGGGATTTTGTTCTCGTCATATTGACACAAAAGAAAATGGTTGGAACTCTTTTGACCCTAGGTAATGGCATATTCATAGGATCCTCAGTACTGAATTTCTGGAAATGAAGAATATTATCTCCTTTTCCTGATCATGAGCTGATGGCAGTGTTTGAAACTTCTGACTACTCATCTCTTCACAGCATTTATGATTTCCTTTCTAGTTCCCTAGTTTTCTCTATTTACCCGATCTATAAGAGGAGAGAATGCAGTGTAAACCTTCCAAACAACTGCACTTCCTTCATTTTTTTTTCTTCTGTTTCAAGCAGTTTTTGTTTTTTCTAATTTGGAGTTATATAGTTAGGTGTATAACTGTTGGTGACTGTTTGATCTTTATTAGAATTACATCTCTTGTCAAACATTTTGTCCCTTTAAAAGCTTTTGGCTTTGAGTTCTATTCTGTCTGGCATTAAAATTTCCATCCTCGCTTTTTACTTTGTTTGTATTTGCTTGATAAATATTTGCCTTTCTTTTATTTTCAACCTTTCTTTATCTTCACTGCCAATGAGCCCAGGGCACATTGCTTCACTCCACTGTTTACAGAAACAGTAGTACTGTGTCAAACTACTCTGAGACTGTTGTAAAGATTTATCTCATGAACTTTAAACTTTTTGCATCCTTTAGAATCTATAGTGTTTCTGCCTTTGGGAGTTTATCTCCAAGGCTTTTACCAGTGGTTCTACGTCCCTACTCCCCTCACCTTATGTCACTATTCCTGACCCGGAATTTTAAAATGAGTAAAGAGAGGGTGGTATTGATGGGGATAATGGATAGAGAACATATTTCTGGCCAATAAAAATCAGTGCTCAGTTTTCTGATCTTTATAGGTGACAAGGAAGGAAAAAAAGATGACTTTTTTACTGCTTTAATGAGAGAAAAAATGTGGGGAAAAGAAGAA